CGTATTTATGTCCCCACTGGATGCAACAAATGCCTCGTTTGTAATGGGTTTTCATGTTTTTGTCTCCTCGCTCCGGCCTGACAGGGCATCATAACAGTATGGTAGGGGTGTAAGATTTCCGTCACACGCTTGAGGTATTTGGCCAATCACAACGCACTGGATAGCTGGTCAATCAGAGCACACCTCGCTTTTCAGACCGATTAGTTTTGTAAAAATCGACGCGTTTCAGAAAGGCGGGGCATAGAGGAGAAACAATAATGTACAGTATGTGGAAAATAATGTGTTTTTTGAACCTTAAACCGCATAAACACATTTCATTACACCAAATACACAAAATAATGTTCTTTTTAGCAGCATCATATGACCCCTTTAAAGTGTCTAAAACACACAATTCTCTGTTTTTTCTCCAGCTCGGTCCAGTTAGTCTGCTTCTGATGGGTGTTGTGTGCGTTCACTGCATGCACATCCTGGTCAACTGCAGTCATCAGCTCAGTGAGCGGTAAGAATGCACCAATCACAGCCCACCGCCTCACTCACCACAGCCAATCACATTTCAGCTTCTGTTTTTGTTTTCTTTTTGAGTCCTGGCCTGATGTTTAAAGATGTATTTGAAAAGAAATGTGAGGGCGAGACTTTTTTATTAATGGAGAAGTGGATTGATTTTAAAAAACAGAACTAGGACTAGGCATAACTAAACATGGTTTCTGTGGTGAATCAGGTTTTATGATCAGTGATTATTTTCTCAATAAAATACTAATTTCACATTGGAGCTGGGGTGCGGTGGCTGATGCCCATGCTTATATTTTACACATTAAGCCTTGGTGCTAACATGAGCGACCTAGGTTTGAGTTTTTTTAGTCAGGGTTGTTATAGTTAAATAAAACTGAAACTAAAATTAAAACCTTTTAAAAAGTGTTACTTGAATTAAAATAAACATTAACTGAAAAAATATAAAAAACTTTATTTCAAGTAGTTGCAAAAAGCAAAATTGTCATACTAAAATAACTAAAACTAGAAGTAAAATAAAAACTGTACAGACATATATATATATATATATATAAAAAATAAGAATGACTAAAAATGTCATAAACACACGGCAGAATTACTCAAATTAAAATGAATTTTTTTTTGATTCAAAATATGAATAACAATCGTAATAGTATCTCAATTATACTAAAACAACACTGACTATTAACATTGGAATTATTGGAAAGTGTTTTTATATTTTAAAGTTTTAGCAAATTTTTTTTTGTCTACATGCGACATTGTCTCAGTTTTTATGTCAGTTTTACTTATTTGAGTTAATCTAAGTGAAAATGAGAAATGTTGTCTTGGCAACTAAATGACAAATAAGTTTATTAATAAGATTATTATTAATGTTTTTTATTTTTTAATTTATTTATTTTTTGTCATTTATTTATTTTTATGCATTTATTTGTTCATTTATTTATGTATTTATTTATTGTCAGATGAACCCCTTTGACCTAAAATACTTACTTGAAGACCCCTTATAATTTAATATTTCAATAATGTATTTGCATGATCACAGTTCTGTGATGTAGGTTAATTGGGACATGCTGGGCATACAGGTTTTTATTGTTTTATAAAGTTTTTTTTATGGTTCTATTTACATTTTAATGATTTAAATATTATCTTTTTATCCACTTGTGATCCACTCTTGTTTCAGTACCATTCTTCTCTCTGCTTCCTGCCATTCTTCACTTTACCAGGATAATAGAAAAAAATAACCCCCAAAATGCTAAAGTGACACAAAGCAGGTGTTCATCCAAGCCTTTAGATAAAGCACCACACAGTTCAGGTGACCAAAGGTGACTCTCAGATGATTGTGGCCCACTGGTGAAGGTTTTTTCTTTGAAACTGTTCTGGAACTCTAAGCAGACGTTTGATCCTGTTGGTGACGGAGAACTGAAGCAAGCAAAACACGCCTGCAGTGAGAGCTGAATAAAGAGACTGCATGTAGCATTCCTGATGGGTAACCTGGAAACAGATCTCATTATCTGTTCAAATGAACATCAGAGTCTCAGATTGTTTGTAAAATGATGAAAGTCGTAGGGTTTTTGCAGTCGGCTCAAAGATTTGAAGCGTGCATATTGTGTATTCTGAATGCAGCGGTTTCTAGCGTGTGGACTTTCCTGCAGTCTGGATATCTGTCTGCGTTCACACTTCTTGCGTGCGTTCAAACGCGATCAAAGACCTGTCCCTCGGGTCTGACTACAGGAAGCGCAGGCTGCTGCATCAGTGTTGGAGTGAAGAGTTGTCAACTTCAGGATCATCAGTGTGCTGTCACATGTTTGCCAAGTGATGGCAGTGAGGATATATTATGGTCTAGACAGATCAATATATTGACTAGACCAATAAATTTGATGATATTTGGCAGTTTGGGGATTAGTCAGGGTTATTATAAATAACTAAAACCTTAAACATTCACACCTGCTTTGTGTGAAAATAGTATTTTGGGGGGTTAGTTTGGTCTGTTATCCTGGTGATATGAATGATGAATGTCAGTAGAGAGAAGTAGTAATTAGAATGAGACCTGAGTGGATGAAAAACTAATATTTAAATAAAAATATAAATAAAACCATGAAAAAAAAGAACTTCATGTCAAGACTGCATGCCATGTGACCATTAACCAACATCACAGAACTGTGATCATGTGAATGCATTGTTCAATTATTGAAATATGAAATTCTCAGGGGTCTTTAAGTAAATATTTTAGGTCAAAGAGGTTCAGCTGACTCAAAACTAATAATAATAAAAAAACTTATATCTTATAACTTATAGCATCATTACTCCAGTCTTCAGTGTCACATGATCCTTCAGAAATCATTCTAATATGCTGATTTGATGCTCAAGAAACATTTCTGATTATTATCAATGTTGAAAACAGTTGTGCTGCTTCATATTTTTGTGTAAACCATGATGCATATTTTTTTTAGGATTCTTAGAGTAATAGAAATTTATTTGAAATAGAACACTTTTGTCATATTATAAATGTCTTTTAATTATAATTGTCACCAAAGCATTAGGGGTCTGTTTTGTCTCCAACCACATACAATATGAGTGTCAAATGTGGTGAACTTTTTTGTCCTTCCTCTTTTATTGAAGTGTTTTGACTGTATTTCTCCCTCTAGAATTATACAAAAAGCTGATTTTTTTCTGCGCTGCTTTGTTCTTGAAGAATATTTGCCTGTGTTTCTCTTTCTGTCTGTCTCTCCTTCCTCACAGGTTGAAGCGTTCCCCCCTCGGTTACAGCGACACGGTTGCAGTTGCCATGGAGATGAGTTCCTCCCAGTGCCTGAGGAGAATTGCTCATTTTCGGAGGTGAGCT